TAAATTCTCCATTAGATTTGTATGGGGGAAATTGTAACCGGGGATGATATGACCGGTCACCGTTGATTAATATTAAAAAAATGATGATTAAGTTGACTTTGACTTAAACCATATGACCATGGTACATTTAAAATGAAATTTATTAAGTAGTTATCGATAAAAGGTCTCTTACGATTTTACTCCATCCCAAAACAGAAATAATGTTACGATAACATTAGTTAGATTGCCAAATTATATTGTTGATTATATGTTAGTAGATTGCCAAATGTCGGCATACGACCAAATGTCGGAATACCGAGAGGCGAATTGAAATTAAAAATTGAAAAATCGTTTTAATTTCATTTTTAAAAATAAATTATGAAAGATCAATATCAAATCTCTTTATTATAATCCAAATTTTAATCAAAATCTATTATTGCTTTCACAAATTAGGTTAAAAAAATGAATTTTTTAATATGAAAAAATAACTACTTTTGAAAAAAAAAATATGTCTGCGAATATCAAATCATTATTATTTAATTTTTAAGGAATTTTAGCTTTTGTTAATTAGAAATATACGCATATCATATAAATTTTTAGTAGCTGAAATTCAAAATTAAATTTTTCAAACTCTGAAAATGTTGAATAAGTTGACTTTCGAGTCGCATTGCAGGCAATTGAAAGTTTTTTGAATGAAATATATATTATGGTCCTTTATTTTTTAACATGCACACTGTAAAACTGATGGAATTGGAAAACATCCTCAATTAAAATATTAAAACAATAATGAATTCAAACAAATTATTTCAAGTATTGTTTCAAGCACTTTCAATCATAAAAAATAAAAATCATTAATATATTTAAAGAAATAATCATGATAAAAATATGTATAAAACAACAGTACGCGGTTCTTGTCTTTCATTTTAATTTTACAGTTACATGAAAATTACTAGATTTCATACGTAAAACCGGCTACTACTAAATAATTTTTTGTCTGTAGAAAACTAAAATCCAAAGTAAAACATACTTATTTCACAAAAAAAAAAAAAAAATAATTTATCAATAGCTTTCATTAGTTTCATATTATTTGGGGGCAGTTCTTTGCAAAATATGATAAATAATTAATACACAAATCAAAAAAAAATGTCCCGTTTTGAAGAAAGTATTTGGATATATGAGAATTAACACATATGTTCGTTTGTCAAAGTGAAATGTTAAAAATTTCATTACATTAACTGCCAAGGCTGGTTTTGATAAATTTGACCATGAATTAATATACAATGAGACCATACACAATATTTTTTATATTGTCGTGTTATTTGTTATGAAATCTTACGTCTTTCATACTTGAACTACTGCAAGCTAGATCAAAAGTCTACTGTAATTGTATTTTTCGAAATTTCCACGAAACAGCTTGACTCTTTCCGATACGCAATTGATGAAAAATTATGAATTCTACACTGAACTCGTACAATTGCTAGTCGAATCATTAAGCATCAGTGTGGTTTCACTCTGAGCAGAACGCAATCTTGGACATTTTCCAATCAAGCAAAAAAAATCATTATAATCAGCAAAAAAACATCTCGTCTCAAGAAAATCTAGTGGGTGTCATTTGTTTTAAAATATTTCGTTTTCGTATTCGTTACGAAATAAATGCAAAATGAAAAAAATATTTCAAATATATTTTTTTTTTCATTAAAAAATAAAACAAAGGATTCAACAGATATTTTCAAAAACAATTTCGTCTCAAATTTGTATTTTTTGTTGTATTCGAGTAAGTTAAGCATATTTTTGTCATCATGCCAAACCGGAAAATCATCCGATAATTACGAAAATTATTCTTTTGCCGTGTTTGTCAAACGTCTGTATCTTTTGATCCGACGCTTCACAAAATGTGAAAATGAAACGAAGCTCTATGACTTATGCGTTACGTAACAACATGGCATAGCAAAAAAAAAATCTTTCTTCTTTCGAAAAAAACAAACACACCTTTATTGAAGTGTATGTGTGATGATTCAAAATGAAAACGTGTGCAAAAAAGAGGAATAGAACGATAGAACGGAGGAAATATTGTGTGAATATATTAAAGAATGATGCCCATAGCTATTGTGCAACAATTATGTAATAGGTTCTCATGCAGATTTTCATTTCAATACACAGATTTAGTGACCTTGAATATTCCGCAAACATATCAAAATCTATGACCTCGGCTTTGACATGAAATTCAAATTGCATTCTCCTTTTCTTTCCCTTTTACAAAAACAAATTTCACTAACCACCCATCAAATGCTTTCAGTTATACTCTCAATATCTGCCTGAAAATCTTTATAGAGATTCGATTATATCTGTTAGTATATTGAAATTATACGATGGCTATAAAATGTCTAACGTTTTTTTTTCATTGTTTAAAAAAATTGCGGTAAGCACTGCGCCGATGTCAGCCAATACATCCGTATACATGCTGGTTACAATACAATGTTATGTGACGCAAATTATTGGAGAATACACAAAAACACACTGCTATTCGACAGAACAATGTATTCAATACATAAATTGTGTTTGCATAAGATAGTGCAACAAAATCCTTTTTAGTAAGAGAGGAAGAAGAGTGACCACTTACATAACCGGCATGTATTTCAGCCATTGAAATAGGTGGTTTTCAGGTGGAAAACTATTGATATGATCTATTTTTGCTATGGTTTCTTATTTTTATTTTCAAAGCAGATCATTACTCTATATTATAAACAACTACTAAGAGAAATTAAGGTTAGTTTTAGGCGGTAGCAACATTCACTATTTTCTTGTGAAATGTTCATCAATTGTTCAATGTTCTCTAAAAGTCTCCTATATAATTTTAATTTTTCTGTTGGTAGTATTAAATTCAAATATAAATAAGCTAAACAATAAATATTTCATCAACAACATAAAGTCGATCAAACAAAACAATATAAACAATATGTCAAACAATTAACTACAAAGATCTATTCGGTTGACTCAATCCAAGCCTTATACATTGAATTCATTGCCAACGTTGCAATTATTAAAACGCTGCAATGCAATTGTTCAAGAAATTCTGTCTCTTTGTTCATCTTTTCGTACCGAAGCCCGTAACAACATTATCATTATTTGATTTATTTCAAGTGCATCTATCTATTCAACGTAACAGACATCGAATGAAATCTGAATAAAGACAGAGTGAGCACTACTGAATTCCAGACTGAATTGAATGCTATTTAGAATATCACGAAATAGAAGAAAAAAAATGATATAGAGCGAGAGAGAGATGGAGGGAGAAAGGGGGAAATCAGTAATAATAAAAAAAGATAAATGAATGAAAACTCATATGAGGTAAACACTGAAAATAGAATTGCAATAGCTAGTAGACTTGCCTGTAACAATAATTTGTCTGTAGAAAACTTGAATGGTTCATCAAGAATGGTACTTGTATTCGTGCATATTTCGAATTCGAATTGGAGTATTGTGTTTTTATATGTGACGCTGTTGTCTTTATTATTTTCAAACAAATTTGTTTCATTACTTTATGAGAATAGAACTATTTTTCATACAGTGATTTCATGCACAAGCGTTTTTATTGTCTTCAAATCGTCTATTTCAGTAGATTATGTTAATCAAATCGGTTGAATTGATAACTCAAGATGTATTTTATCAAAATTGGTTACACATTGGAAAAATGCGGGACAATTTAATGATTGAAACCTAGTGTTTATTCTGAAATAAAGATATATATTTATATTTAAGCTAAATGCACGAATTAAATATTTTTGTATGAATATCACGTAATATAATGCGTGAAACTCAATATTTAAGTATGACAGAACTACATTGATTCAGCCACATTGGAATTTCTCGTATTTCTCTTTGTGCATATATCGGCAGAAGCATAGTGACAGTAAATTCGTCTGAAACGAAGACGTGAACACATTGGCTTGAGAAAACACCGAAACACATTATATTTCACCACAACATGATTTTTTTCGTGATGGCTTTTTGCATTTTAAAATGAAAGCGACACTTTTGATTACAATAGTTTAAAAAAAGAAGACATTCCGCACCATACAACGTTTTATGGTCTGCTTTTGTTGTTGCATATGCAATTTGGAATTTATACTACCAGTTGGGCTTATTTGCAAACACAAATAAAATTATAAAGCAATAGCATTGCATGTGCAATGAACTATGCTGGTGACCGTCGGAACACCAAGCCGTTCTTTTTTCACTCTTTTAAACAACACTGTTTTATTTCTCTTTGAACACATACATCGCAAAATCTGTTTACTTGTGTTAGTGCTCAACATTTCTATATAATAATATCGTATTTAACGTTGTTGTAGTGTATTTTAATTTGCGTATTCCTCATTATTGCACCATGTTCCATGTGTAAACGCTAGCTAAACTACTCAGTCATTCTTTTTATAACGAATTCCTGTACACTTTTTCCAATTGTCATGAACGATAGTTTGGAAAAAGATGTAAAAATGCGTACATAAGTGTACCATCAATTTATATTGCCAACGTTAAGTGACGAACTTTCAATGATCTAGACAATTACATTCTAAATTGAATTTTTTTTTTCTAATGTAGACAAAATTATGGCTTGTTAACCATTCAAAACTAACAATAATGATTATTGAAATATGTGTTGAAATTCACTTTAAAAAAAAAAATCAGTTTTCATGATTTTCATGGTCATGGAGAACAGTTCTTATAATTACGTAACATTGTTCATCATATTCCCTAATAGAAAGAAAAATCAAGTTTACATTCACCACATTCAATTGGGATCACAAGACTTAAATTAAATAATTAAACCTTTTTCTACAGAAAAGTCTAACGTGATGAACATTTGTTTTGCCGGAATTAGAAATAATTGATTTTTTTTCTTCTTCATTTTGATCAAAACGCACATAATTAAATATACAATTTTCGAAACAAAAATTACCATTAATATCGTAAAAATAACAAAAAAAAAAATTATTTTCGTAAACTACTCTATTGCTCACCTTAACAATTTTTTATTTGAAAAAAAATTTGGATATTTTTCACAGAATTCAACCGTTAGGTTTGAAGGATTCAAGTAATTTGTATCAGCACCAGAAAGTTCACAAGCGATCAGACGCTCTTAGTTATCAACACTGAACTGATGTACGGTTGGAAAATGTTGCTAGTGAATATTTGTTCTTTTCGTGGCCTGCTCGGTTGCCTCTCGCTGAACACAACCGAAAGCTACAGCATTTACAACAACAACATCTATATTCTTTTGTATCCAACACAATCTAAACGTTTCTATAGATATCTCGTTCGTGTGGATGTATACAAGAATTGGTATTGATCGTACCGCTAAACCGCCAGACTATCGTATTGTCTCCTTCTCTCACTCATTCAATTTCACTCTTTCTCTCGAAAATCATTTACCGTACAATTGTGTCATCGTACCATGGTCTTTTTCGGTTATTGTACGTGGATGGATATGATTCCTTATTTTTTTTTATCATGTTTATATATTTAACTGAATTTCTATAGCATTCATGTTATTGGTTTGATTTTCCAATTCAATAATAATGTCTGTAAATCTAACTGAGTTGATTGAATTGTAATTATTTATGATGTGTACAAAAGTCAAACATATACTCAATTCATCTCATCGCTGTCTTCATATGCATTTGATATTGTTGTTGTTTTGTTATAAATGGATTTTACTGGGAGAAGTTTCTAGTGCAACCTACAATAATATTCGTCTTGTCCCGTCACCAAGCGGTGAATTTGGTTGAGAGTTATGAATGCCGCTCTTTTTTGCAAATTTAAATTGCTGCTAATATTCTCTTTTGCTGTATGTGACATTTTGATGGGTCAACTGATATATTTGCCAGCTCAAAAAAAAAATGTATATTAAAAAAAAAGGGAAGAAAGAGAGAGAAATGTCCAAAAACATTTACACATCCTCATAATGCAAAATTATTTTTTCTGTTTAAAAAATAAATATATATATTTTTCTGCTGAATGTGCGTCGCACGCTTAAACATAAACATTGTTCCTTCATATTGTTTGAACGAATAAAAACGTTGCGGTGGTTCACACATTTAGAATTGTATTGTATAAGAATAATTTTGTTTATGCTGTCGCATGCGAATCACACTCAGCAGTTAAATTTGAAACTCCGATGAAAATCAACTTCAACAAAACGAAAAATTCCTTTCTTCATCGTGTTTCTATGTGATATTTATAGTCATTTGTTTATGCGGCATTTCTTTAACGGGCAAAAGTGAGAGAAAACGGTCTCGATAAAAATAAACAAGATGAATGATTAAAATTCGGAAAAATGATCATCTCTCAACTGTTACATAAATACAGTGAAAAACCGCAAATCTAAAGTGGTTTCTCCTCATTTTGTGCTACCAACAAAAACAAATTTCGAGATAAAACTAAAACTTGCTAATATCTAGAATTTTCAATATCTGCTGTTTAATAACATCGAATGTGTTTTTTTTTATGAAATACAAGACCATTACATATAAGGCAAATCAATCCGAAAAAACTTTCGATGCAAGAATTTGAAAATCATTTCAATATATATTTTCATTACTTTGGATTTTCAAAAGTGAGCTTTACTATAAACAAAGATAATGGCCACAATCATCAATTTTCTAATACGATTTAAAAATTATCTTATTTAAATGTAGTGCAATTCAGAATTTTTCTGATAAACCGTCTCCATTGATTGAAAGAAATTTCAAAACTCCACTAAATTTCTGCACAAATCTAGTACGTTTGGTCGTATCGATACGAGTTTGTGTCATATAGTATAAAACTAATTGAGAATTAAAAAATGAGTGTTTATATATAGCGAGCTGCACGTTAAGCGCAGGTATCACTTAAAACGCAATTGTCTACTGTAGTTGCGCTTATCTCTTGACATTATCAATAAGTGTTTTTTGTCGTTATATTTTCACTTTTTCTCAAGTATGTTAGCAAATCGCAAAAATGGTTCGAGCGTGGTACATGGATAATGAAGTTACCGATCAACGATTGGAACATCATCGTAGCCCACCACAATATATACAATTGGACGAATTGTTCAAAAAAACTGGCGTCGAATATTTCCAAGTTTGTATATCCTGTGATTTAGCTATCTAAAAAAGTCTTATTTCACATTGTCATAATTTATTGCGAATTTTACTTTCAGTTAGATGCTGATACATATAATGTGGATGGCAAATTGGATAGAATTCGCAAAGATCGTGGATATTCATATGAAGATGAGGTAAGAAACTAGCTGGTGAATAATTTAGTTTTGTTCGTATTACTAATTGATACAAATTCATTTCTGTAGATAATATGTTCAAAAGACTGCCTTCCCGATTACGATAATAAACTGAAGACCTTTTTCACTGAACACCTTCACTCAGATGAAGAAATTCGATTTGTGGTCGATGGTTCTGGTTATTTTGATGTTAGAGAGTGTGTAAAACCAAATTAATGGCATTCATAGTAGGAAAACTGAATGTTTTTTTTTTAATTTACAGCGGCAGCGATGAATGGATCCGGATTGAAGTCGTTCGTGGTGATTTGATTGTTATTCCAAAGGTTAGTCGTTAAATTTTTTTATTTGTGATTTCCATTTGTTTCTAACAATTTTTCCTGTTTTTAAAGGGAATTTACCATCGTTTTACACTTGATTCGAACAATTATATAAAAGCCAAACGATATTTTGTTGGTGAACCAATTTGGCTACCATACAATCGTCCAGCCGATGATATGATCGTCCGAAAAGAATATTTACAACAATTACAAAAAGGATTTTAATTTGAATAAGGCAGCATTTTCTTGTTTTTAATTTTTTGTATATAAAAGAAAAATATAAAATTTCAAAAAGAAAATAGAGTTGTCTTTCAATGTGTTAGTATGATACAAGATGGCGCTACTTATCAATCTTGAAGTTCATTTTGCTCTCTTTCTCTCTCCTTTTGATTCATTCATGAAATCTCTTTCTATGTTGTCTTTTTTTTAATATAAAAACACACCTATAGTTAATTTCAATAAATAAATGTGAAGTAGTTCTCTGTCTGATATACATTGCTTGTGTGCGTATATTTGTTTACAATTTGGTCGTCAGTGAAGAAAAATTGTTGAATTTGAGTGATTTCGATTTAAAAACAAATCAAATAAATATTATCTATCACAATGGCTAAAATGGCTTTTCAACACCAGGCAGGCACTGCCATGGAGTGCCTCAGTGTAAGTGTATATCAATCAAATCAGTTCATGAATTGAAAAACTTAGCAACAAAAAAATTTAAAACATTGAATAGTAACTATTGGAATCTATTGGGATTCTATTATTGATATGATTGTTTATATTGAAAATGACTATTATTATTCATTTCAGATACCGATTGTAGTACATAAAGAAATGGACTATGATGCTGAAGGAAAGGAGATGCTGAAGTGTGGTTTTAAAATTGGAGGCGGAATCGATCAAAATTATAAGAAAAGCCCACAAGGTTATACGGACAATGTACGTAAATTCAATTGAATGTGTTTTTTTTTTTGTCTTTTTTATTGGGAGGAAATTGCTATTAACTTATAAACTTAAAAACTATAGGGCATCTATGTGACTGATGTGCACGAAGGTAGTCCTGCGTCTCGAGCCGGCTTACGTATGCATGACAAAATTTTGCAATGCAATGGGTACGATCTAGGGGCAATTCACTTAAAAATTACCTTTCACTTACTATTATTTAATAATTGTTATTGATTCTTTTTCGATTATTGCGATTATTTTCGATTATTTCGATTATTTTTCGATTATTTGTCGATTATTTGTCGATTACTTATCGATTATTTCAAATTAATTCTTTTCTTTTGTGATTCTCCCCTTAGTTACGATTTTACAATGGTCACACATAAAAAGGCCGTGAGTTACATACGAAAACATCCCGTGCTAAATTTGTTGGTGGCACGAAAAGGGGTCACATCCACTTAAATCACACAATGATATTCTCTATTTATGTATGTCCCAGTCATAACCATTTCGGGAGCATTATAGAGACTGATTTGCAGATCAAACTCATCCACAAAATAGTCCAAATATTTAACATTCAAAAAGTTAAAGAACAAATTCCAGATTTATACAAACAAAAAAATAACAATAACAAACTTAGTATAATTGTTTTTGATGGTGTTTTTATAATGATTAAATTTATAATAAATATTAGCAATTTTTAGATATGTTTTTTAAAACACCAAGTATGCAAGTATGAATATGAAAATAACCGATAAATACCTTTTTGCATATTTTTAAGTATTGATTAATGTTATCAGATTTAAATAAGATATTATTTTATAATTATTACCTTTTCCTCAATGCATGAAGGTAAACCTTTTTTTTAACAATTCCAGTGAATCTCAAATTTAAAATTAGTTCGATGGACCAGTTTTTGTTTTCATTCCATTTCGAATAAAAAAAAAATACAATTGAAATGATATTACAATGTAGACTTGGATTTTATTTAGAAAATATCTCGGTTCCATTCTTTCCCAGGTCAATTGGTCTACACCGGCTGACTAAAAAAAATTCCTGGCCTCATAACAGCATGGATCGAACGAAGTGTTTATAAATAATTTTGGGAAGCCATTATATAAAGATTAGAATTTAAAATTTTGATAAGGTGCGAATCTTCTAATGCTTGTGAGCGCAAATAAATCCATTCGTTGCAAATTTACAAAATGTTTGTTAAAAACCATAAAAAAGAAGTTATTATAATAATCAGAATATATAAAGAATGAGTTCTAAGTCAAGCAAAATCATTCTTTCTGTTTCGATAAACAAAATAAGAAAAAAAAAGTTGATTAACGTTAATTTTCAAATGAAATGTGACAATTTTCTGTTTCGATGAATTTGGGTTACCCCACTGTTACATTAAAGTCAGCCAACACACAAACACCTTGATGCGGTCGAAACAATTTTGCATTTTCTATACACATTGTCATCGATATCAACATGTACGTATGTGTACGTATAAATACACGGTATTATGCTTTTCGGGATACAGGCCATTGAACGGACCCATTCTTACAACGTGTGAGAATCGAGTAGACGTCATTTATTCATTAGATACAGTAGATGCATTGTATGTCTTTCTAAATTCAATAATAATTTGGTGATCAGTTTTCTTATTTAAAAAAAAAATACAAAAACATGACGGAAGAAGAAACAGTAAGTGTATTAAGTTAAAACATATGATTAAAATCAAAATGTGTAGCTAAAATTAAAATGAATATTCAAGGAATTTCGTGCGTATCAAAGAAATCGCGTGAGAAAGTTGTAATTAGGCATAAGATATGAACGCTTTGGTAAAACAAAATGTTTGGAATATATCGTTGAGTTCAAAGTACACATCATATAAAACATAGAACTAAAACAAATGAAATCCTGTAGAGAGAACTATGTGCAAGTCATATCAAATATAGATATGAAACAAATTGCATTTTTTACAATCTGCTGAAACAATGACATATCATTTGTTTTATAATCGCATCGCAAAATAAAAAGCAACACATATTTTTCAATCAAACAGTCACCAATGCATGACGAAAGAAATTCCAAATCTATTTGTATTGCAATTTCATCAATGATTGATTATATTGGACAATAAATTTCGAAATGTTTTTCAATCAACATAACCTCAAATATATGCCCTATAATTTGATCTACACATGAAAATCTTATGACGACGACATGAAATCACGTCGTTAGCATAAGATTTTCATGTGAATGCAATTTAAAAACAACGGCCAGTGTTGGTATTCTTTGTTTCTGAATTTGTTTGTTTTTGTTTTTCATTTTCCATAGATTTTTGATCCGGCTTTAGTCAAAAAGAAAAAGAAGAAGAAGACGCCTTTCGATTTGGATGCGGCTCTAGGTGAAAGCAACGCTGATAACATGGAAAAGGAAGATGGTTAGTTATTTTCGTCTTTAGTATGTTGAGAAAACTTTCTTATAAATAAAATATTGTGTTTCTTGTGTCGGGGATAGGCAAGGAGAATGACGGTGGCGCAAATGAATTCGATGAAAATTTAGATCTTGAAAACTTCGGTAAAAAGAAGAAAAAGAAGAAGAAGCCATTCAATCTGGATGAATTGGAGAACAATCTGCCATCTGTTGATGGTGATGATAAGAAGGAGGATGCAGTCAATGATGCTGTTGGTGAAGAGGGTGGCAACGTCGAAAATGATTATGATGTCGATTTGGACTTTTCGAAAACTAAAAAGAAGAAGAAAAAGAAGAAGGAACTTGACGAATTGGTTGCCGAGAAAACTGAGGAACAACAACAAGTTTTATCCGAAAATGGTAACATTTTTATTTTTCACTTCCTTCAGAAGCAAATACTTCAATGTGTGAATAAATTTGTCTAATTTTATCTAAATTCATGCAATCAGTTGAGGAAGGAATTATCCTTGATACGGGTATTTTGAAATTTTCGTTTTCGAATTTAATTTCATTTATCTGAGCAATTTGTTTTCTTCGTTTGATTTTTCTCACGTATTCAAAGCATGCAAATGCAACTTATATCAATATGTATTTTGTTTTTTGGATTTGTTTTTACACAGTTGAAGAAAGCAGCACATCATGGTTTGGTTCAGATCGAGATTACACTTACGATGAACTGCTAAAACGTGTCTTTGAAATTATTCTGGACAAAAACCCAGACATGGCAGCTGGTCGTAAGCCGAAATTCGTCATGAGACCGCCTCAAGTTTTGCGCGTTGGAACAAAAAAGACATCATTTGCAAACTTCACAGATATTTGCAAAACGTTGCATCGGTGAGACATTTGCGATTCTTTTAAATTGATTTCTTTTCGCTCCGAAAGATGATTGGTCAAAATATTAAACAATATCGTTTTTTTTATTCTCAGTCAACCGAAACATTTATTGGATTTCTTGCTAGCTGAATTGGGTATTAGTGGTTTCATTTTTATATGTTTCCAATAATTTTGATTATTTTGATGATATCTATAATTTTGTGATTCTCCCCTAGGTACTAGTGGTTCAATGGACGGCAACCAGCAGTTGATTATCAAAGGTCGATTTCAATCGAAACAGATTGAAAACGTATTGAGAAGGTATTGCAATATTCGCATTTCTCAATCAACTTTTTATCAAACGATTGTCAGGGAATAAATATGAGAATTCTGTCTAGATTTTTTTGAAATGTAACTCCGACATACAAAAAAAAAACCTAAATTTTTATATGGTGGTTATATATTTCAATAAAATCTCAGGAATCTCTCAAAATAAGTTCTCGAGCATTCAATCTGAAGGTCGTTTTCTCACAAATCAATTCATTTGCAGATACATCAAAGAATATGTTACGTGTCACACCTGCCGCTCCCCCGAAACCATTTTACAGAAAGATACGCGTCTATTCTTCTTGCAATGTGAATCATGTGGTTCACGATGTTCGGTGGCTAGTATTAAGTCTGGTTTCCAAGCTGTCACCAGCAAACGTGCCGCCATTCGTGCGAAAACAGCTTAGACACGTTTTTACTTTCAATTTAAATAAAAAGAAACAAAGCATGTAATCGGAAATCTGAATTAAAAGCTAATATGATAAACAAGGAGTTTTATTTATTACTTTTTTCCTACCAAAGCTATGCCAAATATGAAACTTTTTACACCAACGTATTTGTTAAAAAATGTCAAACCGCGATTTACATAATTGTGTAAAATTTCGGTTTCTTGAAATTATATTCTCAGAAAATGTGAATTTCATGATTTTCATCGAAAAGCGATTCAAATGTATGAATAAAAAGATAGGAATTTATTGATTCACCATAAATCAATTGTAATTATTCGTCAATTTCATTCTATAACAAACAATTTCATCATTTTTTTATTATTCATCTTCACAATGATAAAACTTTTTTATAAAATCAGTGTTCAAAAGTGTCTCCATTTTGAATAGAGACTAAGATATGAGTGACAGCTATTGCATCATTTTATTTTTCAACTAATTTCTGTCGATGGTGATGTCATTCTTCGATTACTGAATTTAGATATAGGTTAAATTGCATTGTCATATACAATATTGGATTATAATCTATCCTATCTCTTTTCATATACAGGTGCGTCAAAAATTTTCGGGCCTGATATAGAAACACACATTGTATTTTCAAATGACTATATTTATTATTCAAAGTAGTCTCCATGAACACGAATGACATTTTCATAACTATGCTTTAATGCTTTAATTCCTCCTTCAAACCACTTGGCATCTTTGTCCTCCCATACGTTGAAAAAATCATTCGATATCTCTTCTTCGGACTCATATTGCTTCCCCTTCAGATATCTATCAGTGTTTGGGAACAGGAAATAGTCGCTGGGGGCCAGATCTGGAGAATACGGTGGATGGTGGAGTTGTTCGAAGCCACATTCCTTGATGGCAGCTTGTGCGAGCAATGATTTGTGAGACGGTGCATTTTCATGCAAAAGAAGAACTTTTCGAGTCAGCAAACCAGGACGTTTTTCTGTGATTGCTTTACGCAATCTTTGCATCTGTTGTGCATATAAATAGCCCGTGACTGTGGTGTTCTTTGGGAGGAATTCAACCATTATTATGCCTTTGGCATCCCAGAATATAGAAGCCATTACTTTGTTTGTGGCAATTTCTTTGCGTGGCACTTTCGATGCTGGTTCACCACGTTTGTGCCATTCCATCGTCTGTGATTTGAGCTCTGAATCATAGTAGTGGATCCACGTTTCATCGCCGGTCACTATTCGCTCAAATGTGTCCGTTTCATTCCATTCCAACAACTCGAGAAACTCACGTGCAGCAGCAATTCGTTCTTCTTTTTGAGTTCTGTTCAAAGTTCTTGGAATCCATCGTGAGCAAACCTTTCTCATGTGCAATTTTTCATGAAGTATATTGAATACACTGCCAGTTGAGATGTCAAACATTGCTGCTAACACTTTCTTGCTGATTCGAGGATTTTCGTGCACGAGATGATCAATTTTCTCCACCACATCTGGAGCAGTTGCTTCAACTGGCCGACCTGTATGTGGATCATCTTTCAATGATTCTCTGCCCAACTTGAATAGCTTTGCCCATTCTTTGACCCTGGTATACGATGGAGCAAGTTTACCATAAACAGCACGTAAGCGGTCATTGATATCTTTTGGTGCTATACCTTCTTTTGTGAGAAACTTAATCACCGCACGATATTCGATTTTATCCATTTTTCTAAAAATATCGAATTTGCTTGATAAATAATGTTGTAGAAAACAAACGATGACAAATATCAACTCAACTTTTTTACACAATACTGTTGACAGTTCGTACTTCAATTACAGCACATGAACAATTTGTAACTAGTGCCGTCTATATGTCAGGCCCGAAATTTTTTGACACACCTGTGCATGCGCCAAAATAAAAAGAATATAAAGTGAATAGACGATTTTTTTTTTAATAATTCTGAATTTTTGCGATAATAATAAATTTCTTGTGAAGTTGAATGGATAAGAAGTCATTCAAGAACAAATGATTTGGCACATAATTGTCAACGATCTCTCTAAAGCTCTGAGAGATTGAATTTGTATGAAGTCATTATTAGGAAATGTCACTGAAAACCGCTACAGGTAACATTAAATTATGATGCTGTGATCGCTTTTACTTAAAAGCTTTATTAGTTAGTTTGTATCTGCCGCTTGATAAAACAAATATTTGCTTTTATGTAATAGATTAGTGTAGCTCAATGACATTTAACTTTGATGAAACACAAAAAATCACTGCTACAAACACAAATATGAATAACAACAACTAAATGAAAAAAATATCACACGCTTACTCATTTTAATCGGTATGTATATGTATGGATATAGGAAAGAGAAAGACCGGGTCACTAAGGAACTATGAATTGCGGTCGAGTCGGCTAAAGGTACTGTCTGAAAGCTAGTCAAAGGATATTTAAATGAAATGAAACAAACACCTATTCGAATAATCGTAGCCCTACTTAGAGAAATTGAAAATAACGAACGTTTGCTTTGTTTATTTTCTCTGAGTACCTTAATTGTTTGGCACTTTGAATAAAAAAAAATAACGATGTCTCCCAAATCAATGTATCTCATTTTGCCCAGGTCTCCGCTACTTATGTATATATTGTGAAACACATACACATTTCTTATCTCGGCTAAATTGACTTTTATGTGTTTGTCAATGGATTTAGAAAAAAATGTTTTGCGGTGTTGTGTATTTGTTTCTGTGGTGTTTGAATTTGAGCGCCCCGCGTGATGATTTCAGTTTCAGTATGAAACGTCGACTAGTATCATTTTGTACGTCTATTTCAGTGTTGTATTTGCTGAATTTACTATGAACTATGTTCGAAATAAGTCTATTTAAAGTAGTATGATTAATCAAACCGGCAATTCAGCGATTCATTTTCTTAATTGTTATTTGGTTTAAAGTTATTGTGATTAAATTCGATTTTCGAATTTATATTTGAAAATAATCAATTTTTGAAGTGCAATTTTTTTTTCTTCGCATTTTTCAAGTGACTGGGTATGTTTGACCTAATAATAAAAAATAAAATGTTGAATGATGTACACATTCTCTGTAAAATGAATAAAATGCGTGTAAAAATTGTACTCTTGTGGTATTACATCATTCACACATAATGAATGAGTTATTTAGATACAAAGTATAAAGTAATGGTCTAGTGTGTTTTTTTGTTTCTTATCATTTTTTTAAAATGATTTTTCATTTATTGTTGATTAAAAAAAATTGATTTTATTTCAATTAATGTTGTTGATTTCATGAACCTTGTTGCCGTTGGCAAAATTTCACTGCCGTAAATCGATCCAAAAAGTAACACATGTTCGTGTGAAAAAAAAAACAAGGAGAAAATGTGGAAAATCGAACCGATGTATGAATTCGATAACATTTGTTTCTCACACAGTTCAAAATAAAACACACAAATGACGAAATTCTCCAATAAACTGCTATCATTTAAACGATATTACAAATTTCATCATGAAAATCATTAAGCTGTTGTCAAAACAAACACTTTTAAAGAAGACTAACACCGATTTCAACGTCAAAAGAAATATATATATAGGATTATTATTATTGTGTTAACCCATTCACACCAGTTGTGTTTTCGTCCACAATTCGAACAACGAATAAAAATAAAATGATATGGTATGGGTTAAGAAACAAAAACAAATCGAAAACATTATCAAGTGATAAAGTATATTGCCGTCAAAAAGTTATTAAAAAAATGCCAACCATAAGAAGAAATTAGACTCCAATTGACAAGCAAAACCTGAAATGACGTTGGATTATTAGTCTGGAAATTTTTTTATTGTTGAAATTAACAACCAACCAGTACAACGAAAGAATTATATTGTATGGTTGAGAATAAAAGTGGGAATAGCCGAAACCGCGCTTTCGAACACTTGCCTTTTGTGAATGTATGACAAGAGATAGAAGGGAAGCGTCTTCAGCAATATTTTGGATCTTCAAATCCTCAAACATTTCCGAAGACACTTCCCTACTATCTCTTGTCATACATTCACTAAAGGCATGCGTTCGAAAGCATGGTTTCGGCTATTCCCACTTTTATTCCCAACGAATTATATACAATTCTATTATTACTATAAGAAATTCTCATTTCGAATAAATTTGAATCGATCAAATTGGCTTTTTAGATACACCGATACGATTTGAAAACTAATTTTTATAACTTATTCATATTTATTCAAAAGTGTCGGTATTCTATCGGTGTGATTAAAATCTTCTTTCAGGTTTATTTGATTTGATAAGCCCATCGCAATGCTGCTTTACGACTTATATTTTTATTTATCAAATTTACCACGATGGAATATATTTGCCGTGTTTTCGGTTGGATATTTTGTATATTATCTCATTGAAGTCGTGAAGGTGAGTGTGATTTTTATACCGTGACTCACGGCTTTGAATTTTCGTTTTTATGATTTAAAATTCACCTAATAAAATATTTTGTTAAAGAGACCTATTCTGGCTGTGAATTCGGAAGGACCATTCAAACAGTTTCTGTTGAACAATGTTCCCATGTTGCAGCTTAAATTTTGGCCGACATTTTGGTGTGTTGAAAGTCGTGCCCAAACAGTATTCGCCAGTCTATTGCGACAACAAGTGTTACCAAGATTAAATTATCGCCGTGAATTGCTCACATTGAAAGATGGTGGTGAGATTGCATTAGATTGGAGTGATCATAACTGTTCCGACGATGCACCTCTGATATTAATTTTACCTGGACTGACGGGTGAATCACAATCCGAATATATCAAATGTTTGGTTACAGCCGCAAACACTATTGGTGCTAGAATTGTTGTTTTCAATAACCGTGGCCTAGGCGGCGTTGCACTTAAGGTATGCATGATATCATTAAAATCGATTTATATATGTAAAATGTTGAACATCAATACTGACGATAGTATACTAATGTAATGGGTGCTTTTGATTTTTTTCAGACACCTCGGCTCTATTGTGCCGCCAATGTTGAAGATTTGTCGGAAGTATTGCAACACTTACGTAAATCATATCCAAATTCAAAAATTGGAGCAATAGGGGTGTCCATGGGAGGACTGGTGTTGGGAAACTATTTGTCACGACACAGCGAAGAAGCACGAAAAATATTCACCGCCTGTAAAATCATATCTGTGCCGTGGGATGTACAAAAGGGTACAACCAGCATTGAAAAACCATACTTAAATAGTATGCTTGGTAAACATTTGACTCGACGACTTTGTGATACATTGAAACGATATGAAATTCTTAAACAAAGTCGCCATGATATTGATTTCGATCAAATTCTCAAAAGTAAAACCATTAAAGAATTCGATAGTAATTTTACATCAAAACATTTCGGCTACAAAGACGTTGATCATTACTACAGTATGGCTACGCTTCATAATAAATTGCACAAAATTTCCGTTCCATTGCTTTGCTTGAGTGCTGCAGATGATCCATTTCAACCGCTAGAAGGTAAAAAATTTGGACACAACAAAATGAAATAATTTAAAACACCAGATCTCAAACACTGAAAGCACATATATTTATTATTTAGCACAATGGAAAGCATTTATACCGTCGGAACTTCTAAACGTGCACGATTTATCCTATTTAAAAATAGATACTGCTGTGTGCACGTAGAATTTTCGACGTTTATACATGGGATAGAGTATATTATAATATTTGTATCCAAATTTGCAGCAATTCCGATGACCATGGCTGCAGAACAATCAAGTCATGTGGCAATCGTTGTCACAGCTCGTGGTGGTCACATTGGATTTATGGAGGGAGTATGGCCCAAAACTGGCGATGAATAGTTCGTATATTTACAAAATAGCTTTTATCACAATATTTTTGTTTCAATTTATAAAAAAACACTTTTTTTCATTTGCATTTTTATAAAAATGTCGGGTCGAATTAGAGATATCCGAATGCAATCTAAATATAATCTTTCTCCTTTTCAATTTTCAGCATGGCTCGACTATTCACACAGTACTTTCAAGCAACGTTATTCAACAAAGAATTTGAAGATGTGACAGCAGATATGCTTAAAATTTACCCAAAATATTCAGAACAAGAAGCAGACAATTAAGTTACTATAAAAAATGTACTTGTTTCTTCTTTTTTTCATTAATCAAATAACAAATGATCGTAATGTTATTTGCATAAATTTCTTGCTCCATAGAAGAACAGATTTTCAACAAGCTCATGCACAAAAAAAGTGAAAGTATTGAATTTAAATAGTAACGAGAAAATAATGCAAACGAAATTGTGGTCTCTTGCGATTCTATAGTGCATTATAATTTACAATTTGTGGTACTTTTATTTAAATTTTCTAATTAAATGTATAAATTAACAATTGAATTGATAATTTGATCTTGAATTTCTTTGCGTTTTCATTTGAAATCGTTTGTCAAGTTTTATCTTCATAGCTTTTGCAAAGTAATTAAAGAATTTTTGTTAACTAAATACACGAGGAAATAATTATTTTAACCCAACATTTGAACCAAGTGAAGAAAAAAAATGTTATAATAGAAGTAACACATATAAAAACAAATATTTTATTTAGATTATGTATTGCAATTTAAATGCCGTTCAATTAGAATGTTATCTATTTTGTAATTTGAATTATTGTTATTTATTGAGATAAATATATCACAAAAGTTGCCTTACTAGTCCAGTTCAATAAATAAAAGTATATTTATTTTAAACAATAATAGCACAAATATTTTACTTACATATTGAAAAATATACCGCCACTACATTGTCCGGGCTTGATGTGAAATGCACGACCATAATAGGAACAAACAAGCTTTCCCAGCGGCGTAATCAGAACATCATGACAGGGGGATTTTCAAAAAATGCCAACGCATAAAAAATAAACAATATAAAATAGTGCAGGTAGTCAAGTATATTATCGGTAGACAAAATTTTGCAAGACATACTCCATTCGAATGTAAATCTTATGTCTGCTTAAATCACTCGAGTAACTTTTTGTTTACCAAGGTATTGAATGACAATGTTTAAACATGATGTAAGTGCTCGTAAGTGATTCCAATTCAAAAAAGTCTGATTTGGTCTGTTTTCGTTTGAAAACTGGTCTAACAAACGAAGGTTTCCAAAACCATCGCTCTCAAAAGACTGCATCATTAGATTTTTATATTTGTTTGAATTTTCATTTGTAGACTTTTTGGTGAATGGACTTTTTTGAATTTGATTTTTAAATTATTTCTTGGTGACTAACAAATTCTGTAAATGACGTCACATTTTTTTTTATAAATTAATGACAAAATATCTGCAAAGTTTGAAATTCCACGAGGGGTAAGGTGTCTTTATTGGAAATTTGGATGTAATTTATTTTCCATTTTATAGAGAAATGAACATTTGAGTGAATGTGTTACATCTTTCAATGCTAAAACAAATAAAATAGGTGATTTTCAATAAAAACTATGATTCGTTTTCTATTGTAGTTTTATTTTTATTTTTACATTTCAAACCGAACATTTTTTTCGTTACAATTTGGTAATATTAAGTTATTGCATTGTCGCCTCGATGATGGATTCGTATCGACTAACATTTTTTGTTGATTCTTTTCACATACAATACAGAGGCGGGCTTGAACAAAATTTCTGCAAAAAGCACAATCCAAACTTGATTGTTGACAAAATCACAATGTTGTTGGTAAATTTTTGTACTAGAAAACTGTTTACAGACAATTTTTTTTTCATTGTATAAATTACATTTTGATCTTTGGAAAGCGTCTCTCACAGTCTTGTCTGTAGAACAAAAGCAGTTTTTTTTCTCGCAAAACGAGATTCTTACATATGTTTCACATAATTTTTTATTTTACACATTTTCATTCGTTTCTGTTATGTATGAAAGTGAAAATTTATGTTGTTGTTTTAAATAAGACTTTTTTGATAATTTTTTTTTTTTTCAACCATACACATTTTTCTTACAAACGATTTATATAAAAAATTCTTTCATTTTTTTTATATTCTATTTATATAAACTTATGCGATTTTTTGTGGAATTCAAGATTCATTTTCTCACATTCAACTTGATTTGATCTTTAGAAGAATCTAATGGATTAACATAAAAATTATAATCGAGAGAATAATGAAAAATAAAAAATGTATTGAAAAGGCCTTGTTTTTTGGATTGCTTTTTAGATTCACATTTTAACCTCCATAACCATATAAAAAAGAATTAAAGTATTTTCAATTACATTTTTCGTATAATTTTTCTTTTATTTCCTAATACGAAAAAAAGCGATTACTACATTTCTCCATGCTAATGAATTCTGTTTATTTCTTCACAGCGATATATAACATTGTTTTTTTGTTATTTTACGAACAGCAAAATATTGTGAATCAAATATCAATTGTTATATCCGGCGTATTTCGCATCATTTGGTTTTAATTTGTATGCACATCGATCAAATTAAGCTAAACATAATCATATAAATGTCGTTTATTTGATTGCAGGCCAAGGCAAGTTAGGTTTGCATAATCCAATTTTTAATTGAATTTGACCAAGTTTGCTGAATTTCAAAAATTAATCAATAGTTTAATATCGTTATGGAAGAAGAATGTGAATATTTAAAGGGAAACAAATTGCTTTCTTGGGCATATATCGAGTTAATATATATTTTTTTTATATTTTTTTTCCACGTTTTAAATAAATAAAACTAAATTAATTACTGACTTGGATGACATAAACGTTCTATATTTTGTGAATTTTTCAATCGATTTTGTGCAAACGAATTGGCCTTGATCTTTGGAAATCACAAATTGTTCAAAAATATGTTTGTCATTTATAGGTTTAGGTCGGCTATGTGTGTATTGTTTTGTTTTTATTGTTAATTCATATGATACATTCATAGGCTACATATCACCGTATAATGGGACCCATTTGGCTTGGCAAATGGAATGAATTTCCGATAACAAATAGATATTCCGATCAAATTTTCACATTTCATTAATATTAACCAATGATATTTCTTTATATGATGAAGCTGGCAGGATAATTCTGGCAAATATATCTGCCTCCTACTCTAACGCCCAAAATATTTAAAAAGAAAAACATAACACGAAATGAAAAAAAATGATGACACTTATTCTCTTACAAAATATTCCATTTAAATTGTTCGATATTTTCGTACAATGATAGATTGTTACTTTCAGATGTTTAGCAGCTTAAGATTTCCTTCTTTCTTCAAGTTTGTAAATTTAATTGTGAATTGAACGACGTAATTAAAATCAAATTATTTTGCATTAATTTTTGTTTTTGTTTTTAGGTTTGTGTTGCGGTTGGTTTTTTTACTACAATTGGGTTGTGTGTATATTAAACTGGTCCGATATCACTTTGATACCGAGCTGTTAGATAATTAGCTGCGTCGGTCATTTGTTCCAGACAACGATATAAACCTAATAAATGTTTACGATATTGTTTAGCTAAATCACGTGATTTGTCGATTCCGTGTTTGCACTCTGATTCGATGCCTGAATCATTTTCTGTGGAGATTTCACTATCAGAATCGCTCAATGTTGTGACTGAATTGGATGAAGCAACCGATGCGGTGCTTGGACGTCTTGCGTGACCTTTAACATCTTTTGTACTGCTACCGTTATTGTTGGTATTACTATCAATGCTTGAATTGACGCATGGCACGATGGTTGAGTTGGAACTTGTTTGCTTATCGTCATCTAATTCACTTTGAATTTCTTCTGGTTGCTCTTCACTGTTGCGTCCCCACAATAAGTCCACTTTGACACCATTCAACATATTGTATAAGGTGAATAATTCAGCTGAACTAAGACTTTCGTGAACTGGAGCACGTTTCTTTTTACTATTTGTGGAATGATGATGGTGGTGTTTTGACGGTGATGCACTAGCTGCATCTGGTACTATTGTATCAGTGGCATCGCCAACCTGAAATTAAATAAACAAGAGAGTGATCAATCAGACGAGAGTCATTACAAATTCCAAAATCAATTTGGTCACAATAATTACAAGTATTTAAAATATTAAACATCTAATTCAAGACAACAGATAACTATAGCCGCACTTAATAATTGATTGTTTGAGGTTTATATGTTGTTTTGGAGTATTCCATAAATATACATTCATGCTATAGATTAACATTTCAATGCGATTATCGAATTCGATTATCAGACATATTATCGCCGATCAAAGAGCGATTTGATGATTTGAATAATATGGAGGAATGTGAAGCGTTTTTGTGAAACTGGTTTTGTGAATGAATGTCAATCAAAAATATATGGTGTGGTTTCAAAAATCGCAAGTCTGTGAGAAAAAAAGATTCTTTCTACTTAGTGTTACATTTTGTTCAAAAGTTAAAATATTTTCACGAATTTATTGTTCCATAAAAGTTCAAGATTTGAAATTCTGGAAAAATCCTTGGTGCACTTTGAAGTATTTCTATTCAAGTGGTGATCATAAACTTCCATCAGAATAGGTTTATTTTGAAAAAAAAGACATAAGATGCATGTACAAAAATGTCCAAATCTTAGTCTAGAATGCTTTTCATATTTCCACACAAATGATGTATGGTTAAAGGCCAGGGACCCTTCGATTTAAATTTAGATCGATGAGGAGCAAGTTGAAACAACCACGCGTCCAACCGCGTCAAAACTGTCATTTGAATGCAACAGCAAAAAAATTCTTAAAACATTGGCTAGAATCGTAAATGTAGTATTTTGTTGCGATTTAAAAACTAAAAACGCTAAAAAAATACTTTCCATGCATTTTCACGAGTGATGATGTTTTGAATCTTTAATTTCGAAAGTTTCGCTTACAAAATTATTCATATCAAATAAAAATGCTATATCTAAGTGAGTGACGAAACCAAAACTTTGTGATATCAATATTGTGATAAAAATAGTTGATTGATAATTTTTTCGTGTTTTGTAAATAGATACTCAATGCATTTTTGTAAATTCGGAACAACAGAGATTTTTTTAAAATTTGATATCGAACAGACAACATGTTTGATAATTTTACGATTCTAATGATATCTAAAAAGCTACGTGCAAAACAGCGAGCTGTAAAATATATCAAATGGTTGCCTTTATATAGGCATATAATATGTCTTCTTTTGTATCGATTATAAAATGATTTCTTTGTATAATATCACTTCGGTCAATACATGACGGAAATATTCTCAAAATAAAAATGTTTTTTTAATGCTTTGGTATTTTATTGAAAAATATTATACAAATGAAATCCCTTGCGCGCCAAAAATTATTTCACGGGCAAACAGAAAAGAAAAAAAATAAAAACTCGTTAAGTTTCAATGTCATATTGGGTAAATGTTGAATTCAACGACGTAACAAAGTCTAAACACGAATCTATCCATTTTCATAATTCAGAATGAGAATATTACCAAATAATATGTGGTATTTTTCTTTAAATTTAAATAAATCCTATAAGCTTTCCGTAGTTAAAATCCGCTTTTGGCATGTGTATACAATATATACGACAAATGCGTAGTGTTTGAATGAAGTGGTGGTCACATGTGATCGCACATCATAATCGAATTCAGATTGATCTCTGCTGGTGAATGAACGGTGCAGAGGACACGTGAATTTGAGGTGAATACCTCGTACAATGGCGAATACCTCGTAAACTTTTTTTTTTATTTTGTTGTTGACCACAACATGTTTCCAAAATCAATTATTTCTATATTTTGATCCAGTATTTTCCGCTTTTCTCATAAGATAATTTCACTTATCTATGATAAATATATCATTGAAAAACTATATTCAAATCTACATAAAAAATGAATGGTTCAAGCGGTTGATTGAAAGATTTGAAAATCACTGAATTTTCAAAAATATAAACTGGTTATAGTTAGTATATGAAAATTATGGTGTCAAAGCCCTGGTCGACAAACGATTCGAAAAAAAAAAAAATCAAGAAAAAAAAACACATAAATGTTCGATACAAATACAGACATCATAAATAAACTCATCATTAAGAAAGATTGACTAGTTGATTGAGAGCCTTGGCATCATAATGAATCTTTATTATGTCTATTGTATGAATGAATGCAATTAGCCATAGTGTCTGACACTACGTCAAAGAGATTTGTTAAATTCGTCTACACCATTCACCATAAATTTGTTTAGAACTATTTGCATACATCATCGACTGATGTAGAATAATTGGGTTGAAAGAACCAGGTATTGTTTACAATAGGCTAGAGTCGTGAATTTAGGATATGTAAAGTAAATAAGATGCTAGAATGTCGTGTAAAAAGACAGATACCAAATCAAACTACATTACAAAAATGAACGGAAGGTCATTGTTCAATATGGAACATGGTTTAATAAATTTCATTTGAATTGGAGTTGTTTGGTTGCCATAATTCATGATCGACATGTTCGATTGAAATGATTTGGATGAAAATAATGGTCACAAGCCCAACAAAGGAAATAACTCTGCGTATTTTATTTTTATCCAGTTCATTTTATTTGAGTGTATATTTCATGAAAAAAAAAACCACATACTTTGTGACAAAATCGGAAAAGACTTTTCGGCCGACAAACTTTTGTATTTGTAAATTACATATTTTTGTATATGAATGGATAATTTTTATAGAAGAAAATATATCCAGACGATCAGATATATATAGAATGTTTAGTCTATGGAGGCGATATCACCCCACACGGTCTTTGAGTAAAAGCCGAAAGAGACATGAATCCTATAAGATCTTTATTTATACTCCTTAGAATATGCAATTAATAAACCATATTTGAATGATTTCGTTATCTTTTCTGCATGAATAGCAATGAAAAATACTTCAAGCCCAGAGAGTAGCAGATGGCGTTAGTTGAAAAAATCTTAATATCTTGAGTTCATAATAGAACAGCGTTTTCCAAATACACCGTACCTTATGTAATGTTGGGCAATGGTGACCTGAACTTGACAATGAACATTTAACAATTATCACTTGATTTCTTTGCCAATCAAATGAAAATAAAAACAAAAACATCTGAAGAAAACGACATTTTCGTACTGAATTGTTATCAAGTTTCTTTTCTAATATTTAAAGAATACGAACCGTTCTATCCATCAACCGGCATGGTACCAGTATCGTTTCATCCATAACATTCACCGTTTTGACGAATTTCTCCATTAAATTTACGATACTTTCGCGGGAGAATTCTGTATCATCGTTTGTTGCGATACGCCGTAGTGAGTTTCTGAAAATAGACAAATTAAAATATATATTAATCTAGATGCATTGTATTATTATTGATTGAATTCATAATTGAAATAGTAAAAGCTACATTTTTATCAATCTAGTCTATTCAACTGTTTTCATGAAACAACAAAAAATTTAACCGATATCTCATCAGCATAAAGTTATTTGTTAGTAGTTGTTGGTTTGTTTAATGTATGATGCAACCTTAATTCTATGCATGATGCACAATGCGAAAAAAAGCTTCGGGACATTCAAAAATGCTTATACACCTGCTTTTAACAGATATCAAGTGGATTGCCAATAATTCGTCATCAATCGCCTGATTTTAATATAAATGACATGATACAGAATGCACGACAATATAAAAATGATTCGAAATCGTGTTGCACGTGTATTGTCGTTTGAATAAATTTTAAAACACAGTGACGACATAAATGCAAAGCACATGTAATTCTCCAATTAACGAGAAAATATTACATCGATTGCAATTAGCAGTTTCGAGAAGCAGGTAATTTTAAGTGACTCTTTTGCTTGCGTCTCATTGTTGAAATGGAGATGATATTATTTCAAGAAGATCAATTGTTTCTATGCGATGCAAACACGATTGCATGCTAACACGATGATTGTATGATTGTCTATGCAGTTAAAATAATTTAATTTAATAGAAGCGTACTCATTTAAGCAATCGACAGACAGTTAGACGAAATGCGCTGCAATTTCTGTGTTTCATCATTTAAAGTTGCTTTTAATAAAGTTACCATTTTTTGTTTGTTTGCTGCCCTATATTGTTGCATTACAGTTTTGTTGCGTAAAATCACAAACATTGTGTCAAAAAAATGATTGAGAGTACAAAACCGTTGGCATTATTTTTTAGTTTCACTGACTGTCCGAAGAATAAATGCGATGCATTATTGATTTAAATGCAAATTATATTATTAATTTCATTTCCGATATTTATGAATTGTTTTTTAAACTCATTAAGTTTAAATTTGAAATATTGTGGAATTTCAAAAATTCAATAACACACACACACACACTTCATTATTACCTCACTGTATGCGTTGGAAATATTCGATCCATCGCAAATATGCACTAACTCTGGACAAAAATTTTGTTTACAGTTTTTATTTTTATTGAACACACATTTGTAGTGAAAAACGTTGCAATTTTGTGAATGTTTCACACGTCTACCGAGGAGCCAATTTATGCGATGTTCACAAAATGGTTTCCAATTAGTATATGATACCATGATATGTACGATCATTATAAATGATTAACCACAGCTGAAACGAGCGACGTTCGTCATTTAAAGAAAGAGACGTATGACTCCACTCACATAACAATCAATGCGTGCAGAACAGTTATCATAAAATATCAAATAAATATTGTTTAAAAATCGCGTGCACACATACAAATAATCAGGAAAAAAATGTCAAAAATCGCAATGCTTACTCTAAGCAACAATCAATTTTATGTCTTTTGTCATCAAAAAGTGTTTTTTTTTTTCATGCGTGGTATCAAGAACGAAACGAGCAGCAACCATAATATTTTGATGATTTTGGATTACACATATATACATGTGTAGACGATTTTGTATTTTTTAGTTTTATTTCACACAAAAACTTAAAAAAAAAGTGAATCAAAGAAGAAAAACAAAATTTATGCATGTGTGAGTAACTATGGAAGGTTCAGTAATCATTCAACCAATTTTCGCCTCTTTTACGAAAAACTGAAACAACGGAATATTATTCATTTATTCATTTTTGCTGTTGCGCTCGCTCTCCCTCTCTCTTCATTTCTTACTCTTTCTCTCTCTCAACATACACACATACAGATATCATCGTTTGTGTTTTGCATTAAATACGTGAGCCAAATACATGTGTAAATTGTGAAGGCCAAATAATTCAACACCAATAATTTCAACAACAAAAAAAAATAAATAAAGAGCGAACCTAGGCGAAATATTTTCTGGTTTTTTTCACTGCTGCCGCAACTGTTGTCATTGTCATTGTTATTATAATATACAAATTTATGTTAACTGCTGACTAGACGAGACGCTCATAGATAACGTGTGAACGTTAACTAATGCTTGTCGTACTTGTTTGGCTATTTTGAAGCATTGCAATATGAGTGTGAAATTCAAGTGAATTGGAGTGTGCGTAAACGCGTTAACCGTTATGTCGACCAAACTGATTTTTGTAGCAATGACAAAACTTTTTGCTTCAGGACCACCACATAATCCAAAAAATATATATGTATTAAAACTTTGGCAGAATGATGGCGTATTAACGCTGATGTTGACTTTTGTTCATATGGTATGTATGACGTTAACTATTTTCACAATATAAACATATATTTCACCAGCAACAACAAACAAGAGAGAGGAAATATACGTCAATTTTGATTTCAGTGATCATTTCTCGGCCTTTGCGATTGAATCTTCTGGAAGAAAAAAAAGAATTGATTGGAGTTATCCAATCAACACATCATTAAACCAAGAGCGCAGTATAAAACAGCAGAAAACCAAGATATGACCAATGAATGGATGCGTGCGCATGTGCTAATATATCATCGTCACAATTGAGAACAGGTTGGTTGTCTGTATGTTACCTTGTAAGTGGTTTTCGCTTCGATTATTTTCGATATATTCGAATGCACATATTGCATAATTGGGACATCGTGTTTAGTTTTTTTATGATTTTTTTTTTCTTCAACGATTTCATAAATTTTGTGTGCCTCGTAGTCATTTGGATATTATTGGAATATACATGATATTTCATTGTTTTTGACTGACGCTTTTTTATGTTTTGGTTTTGCTTCGCTTCACTTTTTTTTCACTTACAAGCATAGAAATTCTAATAATTTTTACACAGACTTAAATATTTTTTAACCCTTTTGTAAAAGCGATAATTGATAATTTATCATTTGATCGCTCGGTTTGAACTGAATCTATATTGATAAAATTGATTTGATAAAATAATAACATAAAACGGACAGATTTTATGCGTTATTGCATCTCCTTATTTTATTTTCTTCTTAACGATTTCAATGCAATATACATTTGCGATGGAATGTGGTGCGCATTCAATGTTTGGTATACAACAAATAAATCCAACTGAAGAATACAAGGTAGAGTGTTGTTGTTGCGTTTTTTTTTTTCGTTCACGTTATTTTGTTCGGGTGAAGGCTAATGGATAAAAAAATATTGTTGAACAAATGGCATTGATAAAAAAAATCTATGATAGATTCTTGTAATTTACTCCGAAATAATTCAAAAAATTTGTAATATTAATTTACCAGTTCTGATGCGTCGATTAAATATAGAACGAATATATTTAAACTATATTCAAATATGATAACATCTATATGTTTAAATAGAAAATTTAATTTCGACAATTTGATATAATACGTAAAATAAACAGAAAAAATTGCAAAGCAAACCAGTCAGATTGAAGTTTTCTATCCTGTTTTATCAATTGAGTTTAATTACTCGTTTTGATAGAAATTCGTGATAGCGTTGTCAATAATATCAACTACTTTATTTCTAGATCTTTACCGATCAATACTATTGCAAATCGGTAAAATTCCATTGAACCACTCAGAATATTAGTGCAATTAAAAAGCACACGTGAACAAAAAAAAAACTTGAATTGGCACGTATTTCATACAAATACGTTCGTAATGTTGACTTCAAAATGGAGAATAACTAAATTTAGAAAAATTATTCGATAATAATCGGGATGCAGTGAAAAATAAATGGGAAATTATGAAAATTCACTTATTTCCCGGCCGGATGTATTGTTTATTTCATTATTAGAGAATTCAACACTTGAACACTAGTCGGTGTCGGATTTCTCCGTCGTATTCAATTTGTGCTTTGTTTAAATTCTATGGCAAGCTTAATCGCTGCGAAGTAAAAGCCGAATAGAGGGGAGTCAAATAGAGAGAGGCAGAAAATAAATAATTTGAATAAATTTTCATTCGTAAATGTAATATATTTATGATGTGTGTTTATCGTGTGTGATGTGTGTCGTTTTAATGACTGACGCAAATCGCGTCAATAAAATGTAACAATATGTTTTGTAGGATGCAAATGCCTATAAGCATAGTGCACCATATACATTTGAGTCATTCATTTCTCTTTCATTTCAGCGACCATGGTGGATCAGAAATATGCATTCCTTTAACGGACAACATCCAACTATATATTCCACAAAAATGAACGCAAAAAAAAAATCAACAAATCATGTTTTGACGTAAAAAGTTATAACTGATATGTCATAAAAATCCAGGAACAAGTACGCGTGTTCAACGGCCATGACTGTTTTTTAAATGACGTCCAGGGTGTCAAGCTCATCATTTGATTATAATAACTTTAATTAATAAATCTTGCTCCGTATGTAAATGTGGATCCATATGATTTTCATCGATTTTATTCAATGCGTTCTATGTGTCCAATCGATATTTTTCACAGAGATATTCTTTGCTGATTAGCATTCAATACTGTTCAAGAGTCCAAGCATTGAACATGTATAAGCATTCTAATTTTTTTTGTTTTACGATTGAAAATAACTTTTGGACTTCAATTAATATCTTTATTTTTATTAATTTTCATTCCGTCAATTTTGCAAAAATTAAAAAAAGCTTTTAAAATATGCGCAATTTGACCGTAGTATGAAACGAAATTTGATTCCAGTGTAATGATCGCTGAATTGGTGTAATTCAAATAATTGCACATATATACATTCATGACACACAAATTCTAAAAAAAACAAAACGGTCGACGATAAATTGCCTATAACTCAATAAGATTGTGAGCTTTATCTATTTGACGTAATAAAATTTATCGAATCAGAAAAAGAACGTAATAAAGTTTGGCATCCGATGAAAAAAAAAGTCGTCATATTTGAAATATGTTAACCTGTGCTCACTTTCGAAAGTAAGAATATGTGTAAGTTTTTATTCAAGTGAAGGTTGACTCATGTAACATTCATTTATTTTTGCACAATGTAGTTATTCGTAGTTGCATTCAAACGTAGATGATGTTTTTGTTTTTCAACTCTCAAACTGTTGACGCATAAGGATATTGATGAATAAAACGGATTTTTTAAAATTTCAATTTTTTTTACGTTTAATTTTGAAAGTTGTTATTTCTCAAAATCAATAAACTAACCAAACTTGGAAGCTGCAGAACGATGAAAGTAAATACATTTTATCACTGACATTGATTTCACAGTAACATTGATGTGAATGTTTAAAATGTATATCACCATCAAACATTGTCATTTAATGTGAAATAAATTGAATAAATAGCGTTGATCAGGAAAACGTAAACGCTTTGGTCCATTTCGGTAATCATTGCACGTCAAAGATCACGGATTCCAATGAAATAGTTCGTTCCATATTCAAATGAAATGGCCGCGTCTAAATTGAAAGAATTGGTACAAGAAGTATGTTGCGGTTGTGTGCCGAATCCGAATGTTTAATTACCGGAACTCACGAATGAATATGAGAAGCGCGAAGGGAATGATGCACAGAAAGAAAAAATGTGATATTTTAAATTCAAATTTGGTAGATTTAATATAAAATTAACCAACAACGAATTAAATTTACCATTTTTGACATCTCTGAGGCATATTTTTCAAAAGTGACTATTTGTTGAATAAGTTTTACCAACTGCTTTATTACATTTACCAACTTTTCGAAACCACAGATGACGCTAGCCCATGAATTTGGTGAATGAAATGAAGCAATTAGTAAAACTTATTAAACTGATAGTCTCTTTTGAGAAATATGCCTCAGAGATGTCAAAAATGGTAAATTTAATTCGTTGTTGGTTGATTTTATATAAAATCTACCCAGTCTATGTATTTCGGATGGATATCCATCCGAGATATTTTAGAATATCTGGATATTCAACGCAACTGCACAGCGCCAGAGCTGTGTGCGTCGCAAATAGAATCTACGGTATGTCGCGACGTATATGTGTATCAAGTGTCGCACGTACACAGTCACACTGTGTCTGTATTTTACGTGTAGCGACATACCGTAGATTATATGTGCGACGCACACATCTCTGGCTCTGTGCAGTTGCGTTAAATATCCAGATATTCTAAAATATCTGGGATGGATATCCATCCGAAATACATAGACTGAATCTACCAAAATTGAATTAAAAATACCACATTTTTTCTTTCTGTGTGCTGTAACTCCCCGAAATGTCATTTGATGTTGAAGAAACAAAGCTTTTTTATGACACGGCAACCAAATGCAGTAAACGTTAAAATTTATCACTCACAACTGAAGCTAATCTTGTTCAAAGCAGTGCATTAATTGAAACGGTATCAATTCAAAACCAAATAAAAATAAAATTTTCAATCTGCCAGCCAACAATGTGCCTCTTTTTCAATGTAGCAACCCCCAATTCAGTAAAGCCCTGCAAAGCAATGTCTTCTTTCGGTATGTTTTCTTACAAGCTTGTCTTAAAAATGAATAGACAAACACTAAAGATTCCCAGATATGGTTTATCCAATTCCAAAATACCCAGATTTTGGTAACTAGTTTGCCAACAGCCATCCAATTAAACAATAAAGCACAGAAGAATGCCAAATTTTGGACGGAGATTCTCATTATTTTTCAAGTACAAAAAGCGAAGTCATACAATGCTTCATCTATATTATGTGATTCATTTGCCTATGTATGTTTTGTAATATACAGAGATGATGAAAGATCACAAATGTGACGTAATCTTATATGATTAGTGATTGTATATGCAAATAAAATGTTTTTTTATACATTTTAACGTTGATATACGTTTTTTTTTACATTCTAGTGGTCATTTTCGTATCAAATGAAACGTAGATTTCCAATGGAATTTTCCAATAATATTCTTTTTACAGAATAATATGAACAAGGTAGATTTTTACATCACATCTCAAGATTCATTTTGTGCAAAAAAATAAGGAAATTAATGCAGAAAAAACAGTTTTTAAATTGACTTTTGATTTTATTGACGTGAGATTTTTGTGTATGAAAACAGTGTATAATTAAAGTGACAACAAAAACATTAATGCTTGTTAATTAACACCTTAATATTCTAATAAAATAAACCATTTAGTTAGTCTGTATTTTGCAACGTTTTAATACAATTTTTGGGGCCCATTATCTATTTTTAAAGAATGATTTTAATGATAATATAAAGAATTTTCCCATATATAACCTACATTTCAAGTTACAGAGAAAAAATTAAAAAATTCCCCGAAAATTAAAAACTTGCTCAAAGTGGTTTTCGTTTTAACTAAATAAAAGTACGCAACACGTCACAAAACACACCTAACACGCCACGCGTGTAATGTAATTTTTGTATCACTGCTTTGTAAAAGAAAACAACAACATATATTTGATACAGAACCAATAGGTATATAATTTGCTCTTCTTCCGCTGTCTTCGTCTTCTTATTCGTATTATTCTGTTTCTCATATTCTTTTTCCAATGACTCGTTTAAAATGTTTCCAAATATTTCTGGACTTTCAGGTTACTCTACAACTCTGTTTTTACTTCTCTTGACATATCTTAAGGAATCATTCTATATAAGCATTGAATAATTTTGCAAACAACTATCTTATATTCGCTTTAAAATAAATCTATAATATTTCAGAATGAGCATTGGAATTCTTTACGGCCATAAACTCCCGTTGGTTTATCTACTGTAAATAAATGTCAACGTATAGCTAGAAATCTTTTTTTAAAAAAACTTATTGTTTTTTTTTTTAATCCTTAATATTTCATATATTAGAAAAAAAATTCTTTTATGATTTTCCAATATTGGATAAATTGTCATACAATTTCCATGTAAAACTCCATATTATAATGAAGCACGCAACAAAACGCCATTTTTTTCTCACATGATCTTTCGCAGTTTTTTTCTTCTTCATCATTTGCATTTGTACATTCCATCGAATATAGCTTTGGATTAGAGAGTGAGAAAATGATAAAAAAACATTTGATTGAAATACAACACAATCGCTCAATTGAATACACAAATATATCATACTGCTTCAGTTAGCGTCAGCTAAAGTGAAAATTTAAAAAGCCAAGGTCGGCTTCACCACTTTTAAGTTTTAGTATATATATTTTTTCTCTATTTCCATTTTGGATATATTTTTATTGATAATATTAGCAACGACACGTGTTTGTGAATATGTTTCTAAAGAACTAGCCTGAATCAGTCTTGAATCAAACAAAAAATTCACTATTGATACTGAATACATCTATATCTAAATAAAATAAGTTTTTTTCCACAATCCATGGAAAAGATCTGAGTCAATCAAATGAAGTAGAAAAAATACGATTTTCTTTGTGGCTGTGCTCACAATCAAATTCACGTGTACAATTAAAGTGAAACAATGAACTGTAGACGTGATCATAAATGATCACCAGCTGATTATATTTCAACTTTTTTTATTATGCACGAACAGTGCATATATATGTGTATTAACAACGCGACCTATCATACTTTGACGCTTCAACACATACACATACAAAAATAATCAACGCACGTACCCATATTGTTTCTATGCAACTACTGCATTTTTATCCCGTCCAGAAAATAAAACTAAAGGTCATTCATATCGTAACAAAAGTACGATATATTTTCACAATTATTTACATCCGTCTTAATTATTCATTTGAAATCAACAATACGTTTCACATTTGCAATGAGTGTTGAAAGTAAATGTTTTAAAAAAATTAATAAAAACAAATCGAAATGTTGTTAAATATTTTTTTTTCTCGTCTTTTCATCCCTTCATAAGATATGCATTCTTGGTAGTATTCGCAGTCAATGTGAAGCCAATAATTGTTTACTACAAATTAACGGAACATATTTGTTAGGTAATGAAGATAAAGAACATTCGATTCTTCCAGCCATTTAATACAATTAGATTCACAACTAAAATTTGTTTTCATATGTGTCGTCTTTCAGCATATTTGTAGTCACATTTTTGTTTCACACTTTTTTTTTACATAATATTTAGTAGTAAAAAATAATTTGCAATAGTTATATAACATTTCTTGTTCAGTTGCGATAAAAGAAGAACGTTTCCAAAAGGGTCTACATTTTGATGTATTTTCGTCAGAACTACAGTCCATTTTAAACATTGTTCAAATATTAAATTTACTGTGCATATAAACAAACAGTTATTATTTTATGTAAAAACATGTGAGCGTGTATCATTTACTTTTTTTGTAATTCATCAGTAGAACTCTGAGAAAGTGTGGCGAAAATGAAAGCACAATTTCGTAGTGACTTGGATAAATATCACCAAAGTGAAATTCCTTATTCTATTTTTTTTTCTCATAGTCTCTTCATTCAAATCATCCAATGATAAAAAAATGCCGTTAATTTTGTCTTTCAAGAATTCACCGCAAAAAAAAAAAAATTTATAAAAAATACTTGATGGTATAAAACGATCATTTCTTTATGCTAATCATTTCATTTCCCTGATCGTACCATAAATTTTTGATTAATTTTGCAATCTCATCTTCGGCACACGTATAAGCATGACTTAACAGAAAAGATTTTTTTTGCTGATGTCACTTGAGATTTACCTTGAAACATAAATACCTCTCTAATTAATTCAACTTGCTGGAGCAGTTTATGCCACCAAATTCTTTGTGAACAATTTGTTTCCGTAGAAATTAGCATATTGACAGCTGAAACGAGCAAGTTAGTTATATGCTAATGTTCATTCAATGAGGCTCAAATGGAGTGAATTAGATTATATACATATAAAAACATTCAATGAAAATAAGATTTAATGTTACTTTGTTGCTACGCTCAGAATGTAAGCCGACAATAGATTTCGATATCTCGCTTTCCTCGCCGATTGTGAATAATTTAATCTTTCTCTTTCTGAATATTCATTTTTAACAGAAGTTGTGTTGCAATATGATAAATTGACATGTCACTTCTGATGTAAATGATTTCAAATGACGGAATTTCCCACATTTTAGCCATTGTTTCTTAATGTCAAAAATTCTAAAATAATTTTTTTTTATCGAATAGATGTTTCCATGCACAATGAAATAATCGCTCAACACACCCTAATTGAGAAGAAAATTCAAGTGAGAAAAAGTCTTGTTTACATTAATAATACGTGTGGGAAACGGAGAAATGCCAAGTAGGAAAATGAAGTTACTTAAGTAGTCTGTAACCCCCATTATTAAGTACAAGTACCAATTATTATCAATCATGACAATTAAATACAGTTGATTTCAATTCAATATGAACAAAATTTTGTTAGATTTATTATCCAATGGAATGAACCATTTTTAATCTTTTACGTTGAACAATAAAATCAACAATGACTTTTCAACTTTAGAATGATGAGAAAGCAAAATAGGTTTTTTCGCAGGAAAAATTAAAATCAACACTGCAAATTGCGCCAACTAAATGATGAACAAAAAAAAAAATCAGAACGAATACATTGAACATATTCTCTGTATGTGTTAGTTGTAGTTTGTTCATAAAACCACCATTCGACGTAAAAAAGCCAATTTGAATCATACGATATGAACTGTATACTAAAACTAATATAGCGAGTAATTGGTTAAATGAACAAATCATAGTATCACGCGATTTATGTAGACATGTAGATGATGTTGCTAGTGTGGTCGCCTTGCTGACTAGCCCTATGACATTTGATCATAGTACGTGTGCGTTCACTCAGTCTGCATGTTTTTATTGATGTTCAGTATGATTTTTCATGGTAATTCTGTCTTATAACAAACATATGTTACTCGTCCGCCAATTAAAGCTCTAATAATATCTATGCAATCCGAAAATCAAGAAAAAATGCCTTCAAGTTTTTAAGAGTACGATTTAGCACTTGACTTTCGGACATACCTTTTGGAACATTAAAAAAGAGATTTAATCATTATTAACTGTTTAACCGCTGTGAATTTTCTTCTAACAGCATTTTCACCATTTTGACATTTATTGAGCGTATTCTTTATGAAGATCATCATTTTAATTTATTTTACCAAGGCACGCATTATATTTACTATAATCTGGCGCCATCTTTTATTTCATAAAATATATAAATGTTATACGTGAGTACAATGTATTTTTTTTTTAATGAATATAGATGCTATAGAAAAATGTCATTTTTCGGTACAATGATATTTTTTCCAGATTATTATTCTAAAATTTCTAGAAAAACTAAACTTTCTAGATCAATGGAGACTGGCGCTCTCCTCACAGAAATATTCACACCCCCAATACCACATTGCTTTCCAAAATTGCATTTTTGATACCTTATTAGTTGTTTATTTCGTTTAAATTTGATTGCATGTTTTTGGATATGTGTGCGTTGCAGTCAGGTGTCCCTCGAAAATACATTCATTTTGAGAAAATGTAAACAACAAACTAGCTCGAAGAGACTTGGCCATTACATATACATTTTTACTTTGTATGAAATACATGCACACGGAAAAAAACATTGAAGAAATTTAAATGAATTTGGTGATAGTATGCCCGATTGACGTCTCGTATACTACTACCAATTGCCGAAAGTAGGCCAGCGCACAAAAACTGACTGAACATGTAATCGCGAACTGAAGCGCACAACACAAATCAAAATAATAAAAAAAAAACAATGAAACTTGAATGAAACGAATCGAAAGAAAGGCAAAATCCGAATACTATAAGAAAACAAAATGAACAAAAATACCATTTCGAGAAAATAACATGTAACATTAACACAAACTGGTAATGCTGTCCAAAGTCGACACCATTATTTGCGCCTTTGTTTGTATTCTTTATAAGTGAGAGATGCAATCATCTATCGAATCTATGAGAAAATGTTTTACATAAGATGTAAAATACAGAAGAGAAGAAAATAAAGCCCGGCTCTGTCGCAAAATCGTTGATAGAAAAAATGGAATATACTCATCCACAACTACATTTGGCTGCAAGCTCAAATTAAAGGTTGACTATTCAGATTCCTTCAATCCTTTGTCAACGAAATTCCGAATTTTAGATAAAAAAAAATACTAGTCATTTGAAGAACTTTGATTGAAGATTTGACGAGCTGTACGACCTTGTGGACTTGAAAAATTGATCTGCACTTGAAGAGAAATTAAACGCCTTTAATTTTCATACCATTCCTCTAGATCGAATGATAAGGATAAATTTTAAATGTGTATCGAAATCGAAACGAACGAAAAGAATGACTTTATGCTAAGGTTTCATAGGCTTTGAACGATGTCGTGATGTGTGCAAATACAATTAGATGTCTCTTATCGTCATTTTCATGCCAACGATACACTGTACGTACACGTATTTATATCAAACACATTACAATGTGATTGAGCACGACTTGAACAAATGAACGAAGCATGTCGCTAATACAAACTCACAAATCGTCATACATGCTCGGATAAATGAAGAAATTCTCGTTTGGACTATACTGATGTCAATTTACACAAACAGTAGCAAGAGATACACATTGGATATCAAACAATCTATGAAAAGGATTTATTTATAACATGATTAAAGGAGAAATGAATCATTTTGGTGTTACTTAACCGAGAATTTCTGGGTAGTAGCTGTCGCTTTTTTTCATATGATAATAAACCAATGAAAGTAAATCGGAAGAATTTTTAGCGAATTTTATTGTGGAAAATCTAACAAAGTATTTGATTGAAAAATAAAATCAAAGCATCAATGACGATATTATAAGACTTTATCCAATTTTTTTTTAGTACAAAACTCGAATGAATGATACAGAGATGATAAAATGACATAATATCATATGTTTACTCGTAGTATGGGTAAATATGTATGTATTTGTGTGACAACTACACTTCGTTGTTAATATCTCTAATATCGCAACAGACATCGTAATCGCACAGAGAATTTATTTCATTTCTAACTCAGTTAAACTTGTCCATAACAGAATAAAAAAAAGAAGAAAGATGCAAACCAACATACAAGTAACGGATTTAAATTTTTAATGAAAACATGACACTTTCAATTGACATTTTTCGCTTAACGTACTATTTCAATTGCTTCGCTTGAATTATTGGAAATGATTTAAAGTGAGACAAGAAATTGTTACTCTCAAACATATTTCCATGATAAGTGATATTTTTTCGTATGAAACATTCTGAAATGAAAAACGGGTGCGAACGAGAGAAAGATACTTGCATTACACTAAAATAAATGGAAACCAGTAATACCCGTACATTAACTTCATACGCCATTCATTCAAATCATTCACTTTATTTAACCAAAAATTTTGCAAATTAGAACCAATTCCAAAATGTCGTCTTTTCTTTCCGGAAATGCCTTTAAATGTATCAGCAAGAATTGTGCATAGCATTTAAAGGTCGAGTTAATTTAAATGAAAATAAATTGCGATTAGAGTAGAATTACTTACCGGCTGTTCTCAATGTTTGTTGACACTTCCTGATGATATCCACTCATTTTGATCGATTTGATATTTATAACTTATAAAATAGTTTTTTCTGCTCTGTTGCAGCGAATTAATTGTTATTTTGGTATAACTTGACTGTCTTATATAAAGACTAAGAATTGAATTGTTTCATTCACAATATACAAACGTCAAGTAAAACTATTGTGTTTGTAATTTTTTTTCTTGTCGGCAAAGGTACTATAATTTTCTATTCGCCCTTGAGTGGTCTTCCCAGTGTAATTTGTCTTATTATTTTCTTTTTTTAAATCAACAAAAATTAAAAGTGTTTGATATCAATTTAAATAAGGATCAAAAGTTCAATGAAACGTATATTATCATTAAACAATTGTTGGTTTTGTTATAATTAATTTGAAAATAGACATTTTCTTTTCAAATACACATATAGTTTTTCGTCTCTTAAGGCTCGAAATCGTATCACTTATAGCATGAGGTATTGAATAATTCAAAATGTTTTTTTCGCCGAAATATGGACGATTTGGATATGAATTTTATCTTTGCACAAATGTTGAACTGTCTCAAATTGTAGTTTTACAGCACACAAAACACATTCACAATGGAAATGGGTGACTAGGAATGAAATAATTTGATTGACTAATTTTGTCGGGCAAATTTAAAAAAAAGAGTCAATTTAAACACAATAACTTTTTGATCAGCTGTATAATATCGTCGAAATAATTCTCTTCTTTAATTCGTTGTCTTTTAATGTATCTATGATACAATTTGTCACTTTCATTGATGTTCACGCATACATACACAAGTATTTTCTTCTTGTTTGTTTGGCATTTCTCCCTCGTATTTAGGAATGTTCGTTGTTCGTTGATGTTTCGGTGAAATTTTGACAGTACATAATAGCCGCTTTTTCATACATTTATCCGTATATATTCCGTGTAGCAACTGCTTAAATCTCTCAAACTTTAAAATGATTTTCTTCTTTTTCTTCACGAAATATAACTTTTTGGTTGGTTCGGAGATAAAATATTTTTTTCCGCCATTCAAACAAACATTTTCCCCTCTTTATCTTCAGTTTTTTTTTTGGTTTACTTCGATTTCTTCACTGCGACCAGAACTAAATCAAACAAAACAAAAATGCGTTTGCGTTTATTTTCTTTTGGGATTCAAAATAGATAAATTGTACGTGATTAATGTTACTTTTTAATGCGGTCAATTTTCGAATTATTTTTTTATTCACAAAAGAAATGAAAGGCTTTGCTTTTATTTTTATGTTTAAAATGACAAAAATCAATTACGATTGCGACGAATGGAACAACCTTCACGTGTGAATGTTTTAAATAAAATGTTACGATATGACAGAATGCGCAAATTTATATTGAACTTTTGTAATGATGTCATGGATTTGAACAACGCCTGAGTATAAGTGCTATGTATTGGTGCGAGTGCGAGTTAAGTTTGAACATGCGATGAGCAAGCAGTATTGTGGTTGCGCATGTATTTGTGTGTAAATAATCGTACGATTTTTTTTTGCTTGCATGTATGCGGAATCTAATTCGAATTCCGAGTCTCGAGTCTTCGCATGTACTAATACAGACATTTTTAAATGAATTCAGTTATGGGTTTTCATTGCTTCAATTTACAAATGTATATCATCGGTTTATGTATTTCTATGTAAAATGTATTAAATTTCAAACTCTTTTTTCATAGTAGTATTTGCAAACATATGTTTATTGTAGCCATTGTTTTGAATAAAAAATTAAATGCTGAAATGGTAGCGCCACCTAGCGATCGAAATCAAATTGTACCTTCACCATATTTGAGTTTTTCGTCCGTTTAATTACGCATATGAAAACAATATATATTGCGCCGATTTAACTATACAAAAAAAAAACCGTCGAAAATAACCAATTTGATATTAGCATTTGCATAAACAATAAACTCAATTTAATTAATTTTATATTTCACGCTTGGTTTCTAGGGTAACAAAATTGCCCGAAGTTGGTCAATTTGCATGAAAATGCCTTGATCCCCGTTTTCAATGTGACCACATTATATTGACTTAAAAAACCGAATAAAATTACAGTCCTATTATTTTCCATATCTTCGCAATGGTATTGAATATGCATTAAATTCAAATGTGTATGAAATTTACTTACCGATAACAATATATAAACATCGGTATAATTCCACTGAAAGAAAGAAGAAAAAAACACATACCAATTGACCTCATGGAAACTTCGCATTTTTGATTAGCATTCAATAAAAAGGAATGAAGAATTCATTCAAATGAATGAATTTTGACATTGTTTATCGAATTGAACAATTACATGATAAAACTACGCATGGTTTCTGTTAATCTTATGTTTATAAAACCTGTTATGACACAAATTAATATATCTACTAATTCCCAAACCACAAACTAAGTGGTTTGCTGCATTGCATTCTTACTGATGATAAACAAAACTTTCTTTCTTCTTGAGACAAATCATCCTTCCGCATTTGAATGCTATGTTCTTTTTGCAAAATAATAAAATAAAATAATATTATTTATTGAAAATTGCGAATTTTAATTTAAATAGTCATTTGAAATTCAATTTTATGATTAAAAATTCTTAATAAATAAATATATTAAATCACAGTTTAACATTATTTTAATTTAACGGTCATTTCAGTTTAGTTGAAAAAAAAAAGATAGCTATAATCAATTGCGATATTTTCCATCAGAAAGTGGTCAAAAATATTGGTAGTGAATGGAAACAGTTCATTTAAATGATATCGCGTTTTATTTCATTTGATCGGACTTTCCTTAATTCTTTTCCGATGAGCGTCAGAACCAGATTATATTTCGTGCGTAATGATACAGTTCAATGAAACAACGTCATAGGCATATACGCCGTTCACATATATATTCGTTCATATTTTGCGTAATCATTGTTTTCTAATTGATAAACTAAGTAGTGGCGTTCTAGAAACTTGTATCGTCATCAACTGATTCTCTTGATAGTTGGAGGTTGGCTTCATTATGTTCTAGTTTTTGCTAGTATTTTGTATTTCTAGTTTTCTAGGTTAGATAACCCCTTGGTAAACATCTGCACCAAGAGTACTCAATGTTCGTCATACTATAGTCCAATACATCATTCGTAGTGCAAAAAGCAAGAATGACTTTTGTAGTGCTTCAGTGATGCGGTCCACAATTTATACTTCATTCTCGAAAATCGAAGACAAAATAAATACTTTGCATGAGTCAACAAAACTCTACTGAATGTTTTCTTCAAGCCAAATGCAAAATGTAAGATTTGAAATTCATTTTCTCATCAAGCAATACTCATTAGTCCACTTAGACTCTTTCAATATGCTCACCATCTACTTTGTATTTTAAAATAAAATTGCAATGACCGATTTTTGGATCGATTTGCCCTAGCAAATATTTTTGGATTTTATTGGATAGTTTTTATAGAAAAATTCAATGTTTCATATTCACCGACTAAAAAATGTTGCTTCGTTTGATATCGCATTTTTATAAGTGAGAAAAATAGTATGTTCTTTTTATTCTTGAGCATTTAATTGAAAAAAAACTTAATTAATTCATTGCCGCATGTCAGTTTATCAATTGCGGTGTCACCTATTAACCAATCGTTTCCAATGCAAATTTTCAATTCCATTATGGAATTTCCATATAATCGGCCACACGAATAAATAAATTGTTTTTTTTTTTAAGTAATGTTTACAGCGTGGATTAAAAACAATACGAAAATAATGTTAAAGTTTTGCGTGTTTTGCTGTTATTTCAATATCATTGATTTTGAGCAGAAAAACACTGTACCCGATTGATTTAATAGTCACTGCAATAAAAGTTTTAAGAATATAAAGAAAAAGAAACAATAACAGAAATGCAAAGACACACGATTTTTTATTTATTTATGAGAGCAATATATTTCGGATCAACCACACCTCATCAACCCCCCTCCCCAATTTTCACAACACACTTTCTTCGGGACCCTTCAAAATGATCTTTTTTGGTCGTTAACATTTCTCGTATGGCCAAAGAAATAAAAAAAATTAAAAAAATAAAATAAAATCATTTATTATGTGATGAAAGTGCATTCTACCTGGAAGTCTGTATTTATTTATGTGAATTCTTTGCACCTTATAAATGAAGGTTTGCACCTTCTATGATAAGTACATTATTATTTTTGGAAATGTTTATAATTTCATTACAGCTAATAACCCAATTTCATTTGCTGTTTATCTTTTCTTGTACGCAAAACATAGTAGTAAAGATTACTGAATTAAGAAGGACAATGACAACCAGAAACTCTGACGTCATTCTTATCTTCACGTTCGTTTACGTATTTAAAAATGTGCAGCAATTAACTTTCTCTCGAATAAAAAGAAGTTCTAACGAAGGAATATTAGAACAAATACATTTTTTTCCAAAAATCGCAGAGATGGATCCAGTTAGTAACCAAACTAAAATGTACCGTTTTCAGTACATTTTGAAGTTGAAAAAATGTAACGTTTCCACCCATTTTGGTGGTCAATTTCGTGTCAAATAGAACTGAGATTATGTATATAGCTTCCAATTCAATTTACGAATTGCAATTTTATCAACTTCGTTTGAATATTTAATAATATTTCGTTTGACAAGATAATGTGAACACATTAAGTGTTAAATTGCAAATCTGATCATTCATTTACGTTCAAAGAAAGAAGTAAACAATTCATTGGGAAGATTTGCGTAATTTGATTTAAAATTCTGCCGAAAAACATTTTTAAGTAATTTATTGCATTTATTTTATGTGTTTTTGAATTTTGAAAATGCAACTGAACCTTTCTGCCATTTTTCGGTTGGCGCGGTGCATATGTATCAAACCATATTATAGATGTGTTCGCATCGTGTGAAACACAGAGAGAAAAAATGCAATATATTTAATTCAATTT